CCCCAAAACCCCAAAACCCCATGTTGCTGATTAATATTTGTAGATAGTGGATAAAAACTTAATAAATAATAGTTAAATAACTAACTAATAATTGGTCAATATATAATGACTGCAGTCACTCAAAATTCTAATCTTCCTTAAATTGTAGGAGATTATACCTTATAAGGATTTTTGGGCTCTGGGACATATGGTTGCGTTGGTTTGTACTCATATTCTAAAGGAAAAGTAGCACTCAAAGTTGAATCATAGAACTAATCATCGAATAACCTGCTAAATGAGAAGTTGATCTTGAATTAATTAAACAATCTATTCCTAAATGCACCATAAGACATTCAAAGATTTCCAAAGCTGATTGATAATAGACAATGCAAATTAACAGATGGCAAATAGTGTCAATGTCTGATTTTAACATATTACGAAAAATCTCTAGCTTCATTTTACATGGAATTGAAATCTGTATAGATGCTAATAAGTATCTCTTAAGACTTGATCAATGCTATAAAGTAGATTCATTCGTTTGGAATAATCCATAGGGATATTAAGATTGACAATATTTTTGTTCACAACAATAAAGTAGTTCTAATAGACTTTGGATCAGCCACATCATATATAGATAAAGATACAAAATAACATATAAGAGATTCATCTTACAAATAAATGAAAGGAACACCCTGCACTGCATCTATTCATAGTCATAATAATAAGGAAGTTTCAAGAAGAGACGATCTTATTTCAGCTATTTACTGCATTATGTACTTACATAAAAAGAGAGCTTTGCTTGGTTTGATATTTGTGAAGGTTATTTCTATGAAAATGATAAGGATTATCTTAATCAATAAATTTATCTTAAGAAAAAGCAACTTTCCCCTAATCTTGAGCAATTTAAAAATGACACTATATCTTAGAACTTAGTTTATTTAGTTAAATACCTACAAAAAATAGGATTTGAAGAGAATCCCGATTACGAATTTATTAAAGATGCTCTTGAATCCATTGATGATTAAAGTAAATTTATTAAAATAATCTAGATAAAAGCTTCTGGTTTAGTAAAAAAATATTAATACAAAGAGGATGGGCAAATCATTTTATTAACAAGCCAACATTAAACAATAAAAATACTAGTAGAAGTATAAACAGATTTTGTTTAAAATTGTGTCTAATAATTGAATGACAACTAAGAAGCAAATAATGCTAATGATATTCCAGAAATTAAAAAAATAACTGACAATCTCCATTATAGAATGTTTGATAATAAAGAGCAAATCACCCCTTGATATATTGAACTTGTCTCTAATTATATTGAAAATAATAATGATGAGCAAACGAATAATGGTATAAATGATAGCTAACCAATTGATGATGTCAGTTGTTAGGATAACTAGGAATGTACAAGGAATGATCAAATGATTCATATTAAAGAGAGTGAATGCAAATCAGTTTAAACAATGGATTTAGCGGGAAATTAGCAGTCATTAGTTCCTCTTATATAAAATCAACACTTAATTTTGTTTGGAATAACTGGAGTGGTAGTCGGTTTAAGTTATTTAAAATGGAAATAGTGATTTAGCCAAATTTAGTTAAATATATACTTTAAACTTTATTTAATAACTCTCTATAATCATTTGCATTACAAATTGAGGGGGTTTTGGGGTTTTGGGG